GTCCCAAAGCAGTTTCAAGTCAGCCATTGCCATCTGTTGGGTCTGTGGCCTTCAAAAGTGTGGCCAGACTAATTTTTTCAGAGTTTACCTTCCTTTAGGTTTGTATGAAAGTGTGGAAGTTGTCAAATTCAGGGACAGAAGGTAGAATGGAGGTTGCCAGGCGCTGGGGGAGGGCGGGAGTTAGTGTCTAATGGGGACCTAGTTTCCATTCTCGAAGATGAAAATGTAAATATATTTAATGCCTGTGAGCTGAACACTTAAAAATGGTTAAAATGGTAAATTTTATGTTATGTCTGTTTTATGACAAAGAGGGCGTGGAGAGAGTGACTGTCTCAAGTGGGAAAGACTTTTTCTTCTTAGTGTATAAACTGTGATCTTGCTTCTGATCAGACAGTTCAAATTTAGTTTTTTTAATTTTATGTTTCTTTTCTGGAGTCCGAGGTTGTTGGGAATGTGGTGACGTTAGCTCTTCTCGGGGTCCTGGCCGTCCTTTCTCAGCCCGTGGGTGGGCGTGTGACGTCAGGCGGTGAGGGGCGTGCGGGGCTGCAGAGTCGTGCTTGTCCAAGCACCAGCGCCGTCTCTGCGGGGGGCCCTCGTGTGCACCTTGGTTGCTCCGGGCCCTGAGTGGGATAGGTGAGAAACCAGGGCTCCTAACTGTGTCGCTGTTGCTTGCATTTTCCAATTCAGGCCCCCCAGGGGACTCCCTCTCCTGCCCTGCAGAAAGTGGGGTGATTTTCTGGCTGGTCCTCGCTGGCTGCACTGGGAGAGAGCAGACAGACTCTGAAGGGCTCTCTCTGGAAGGCAGCATGTCAGCTGAGTTCTTCAGGAGACTCTTACTTGTGCTGTTTCAGAAAGAAAAGAGCAGCGAATTTTAGAAATTGTACTTGAAACAAACGAGAGTTTGAGCCTTTTACTGGTCCTGAAATCAGAATCTTGGCCCTGCTTTTCAAGTACTTGCCGTCGCATCATCTGAGTGTGATCTGGTTTCAGGCCCAAAGAAAGGCAGAAACTGTGCTTTTGGTGGTGTTGAAACAGAAAACTGAAAAATGTTACGACTTTTGAGAACACGCACGTAGAAAGCTTTCACCTTTCTTCAGGAAAAACCTCTGGAATACACTTTCTTCTCAGCCAAGAAGTGCCGATGGCTTCTTCCAGAGCCTGGCACAGGCGCCCTCGCAGAGCTGCCCTGGGGGCCTCGCCCGCTCTCACTTCTTTCCTGTGTTTCCCTGACGTTCTCCCCGCACACGTCACGCTCGCTGATGCGTCACTCGGCATTGTGATTACTGCGTGCGCATCTGCCTCTCCCCCCCCCCCCCCGGTGCCTGGCTCATCAGCACAGGACGCGGGAGGCCATGCAGAATGTCCGGCAGCCCAAAGCCGTCAGTCGCCGCTCCTTTTCCTAGAAACCTCGACCGTCTCAGCGAGCTTGCTCTCGGGCTTCAGCGCCTGCTCGGGCCAGCTCTGCAAACTGAAGATCTGTAACTTGACATTTATTGCTTCCTAAAGGTTTTCCACTAGTCACTTTCCTGAAGTATCATGGAAGTACTGAGTTTTTATTTGCTTAGTGAGAATTTTAGTTCAAGGGAGGTAACCAGTCTGAGGGACTTTTCATGCTGGAGGGAGTATGACGGAGGAGTGCCACACAGGACGTTCTACAGCAGTGGAGATACTGCAGCTGTCTTTATTGCTTACGAAGTTTTCAGCTTGTTCCAGGGTTTTTTCCTCTAATGAGATGTTCTTTCTTTTTTTGCTAAACTTTCCATAATTTAGCTAAACATACCTCATCCCTCGTCTCTGCCTGTACGAACTCCAGCGGTGAATGGCCCTTGTTGGGGTCCAAGTAGGTGAACAGTCCGTTCCCCGTCACGTTAGAACGTTGGCAGAGCCCAGCCCTGTGACACCAGGGCTACTTTAAGCCTGTCTGGCCTCCTCGCAGCCTTGAGGCCCTCTCGCTGCTTTCTGAATTAGTAATTGACTGAACCGTGCGAGGGTGCAGGCATCTGGAGCCCCTTCTCAGGTCCCTCGTGTTCTGCCGTCTGTGGCCTCCGAGAGGGAAGCATTTTCGTGTTTGTTAATGACTAAGCTAAGATAAATAGATGTTCTTGGGTGGCGAGCAACTGAACCTTTTTGACAGTTTTGACTCCTTTCTTCACTGAATTTGCATAGTTCCTTATTGTCGTTCTCTGGTGAGCCGCTTCCTGGCTGCGTCCCGTTGGAGGAGGCAGGTGGGAGGCTGCTGTCAGAGCACGCGTGCCGTGTGCCTTGCGTGGCATGGCTGCCAGCCCAGCTCTCTCGTTCTGTGGTCACCAGAATGAGGCGTGGGCCCTTTGCAGTGTTGGTCTGGTGTGGCCTCCGTGTCAGTCGGTGCCACCTAGTTCTCGTCACTCAGCAGACATTAGTGAGTGCCTGCTGTCTGCCCGGCATCGCTCCAGGGAAGGTGGTTTTTGCTGTTGCTCTGTTACGTTTCCTGTGCCTGCCTTTGGGTAGGGGATCCGCGGAGGTGCGGATGGGAGGCCCTCGGCTCTTCCTTAGATGCCTCACGGATGGGAAGCTGTAGCTGCTGCCGCCAGCACAGCTCAGGAGGGTGAGGACCCTACGTGGCCGGCAGCTCCCTCCTGGTCCCCTGGGGGCGTGGACACCGGGACACCCCGGGCACTGCTCCCGGTTTGCTCCTGTGCGTCAGGCACCACAAAGGCAGGGGCTTCCTGCCGGGGCCTGTGTTCACGGGAGACGCTCGTAAGGACTGAGAGCCGCCCCTCTGGCTGTCCTCCATTTCTTTGTGTTTCCTTCCTCCCGACCTGCGGGCCGGGCCGGCGTTCGGTTACGTGGGCTCCGTCAGCGCGAGCAGGCGTTTTCACCCTGTCGTCTGGCGCTGCTCTCGCCGACAGCCCGCGTGGAAGGGACAGTGGAACCCGAGAGCCTCCCTCCCGGTCCCTGGAAGGACGAGGCAAGGGAAGGTGGGGGGCGTGTGTGGGCGGAAGGCGTTTCCCAAGCCTCTGGGCCTGATCCCTGGCTGACTCTCACTCACGAGTAGATGGAAAAGGCAGTTGAGTCATTTCCCCACGGACGCGTGAGGGGCAGCGCGTGTCCACACCGGGCACGGGACGGACGGAGTGAGACAGCTTTTCACAGTGTTGTTTCCTTTTACGCTTTCTTTCCCTTTAAACCTGGGCTCTGAAGCCTGCCTGGCTTGGAGGTGCTTCGGAACCTCAGGCAGCTGCGACTCTGCGCCCAGCAGCGTCCCTGGAAGCGCCCAGCAGCGTCCCAAGGCAGTGCAGGCAGCGCGGCAGAGTGAGGCTGGGTGGGCAGCTCTGCTGCTCGACGGCCTCCTGCCAGCAGCCGCCCTCTGCACCTGGGCCTGTGTGGCCCTGTGCGGGCGAGCGGCAGTAGGACTCATTTTTGTCGAGACTCAGAAGAGCCTGTGGTGCAGGATGTAATGGTGGACCCAAAACTCAAAATACACACATGTGAATTAAGCAGGAAACTCTGTTTTGACCTCTCGTGGGGAAGGAAGGGGAATTGTGTCGCTTGGGTCTTAGATGCAGACAGCAGATTCCACTCTGAGCCGCTCCAGCGGGAAGGTGTTTTGTGAAGAGACAGCTGAGCGCTTGTGGTCTCCTCGGAGGAGCTGGGGAAACAGGCTTCCAGCTGAAGCTCCAGGAGCAGCACCCAGACCGCAGCACACAGCTGCCACCTGATCTCCCACCACGTCCGCCACCTGCACCTGCCACACAGGTGCTCTTTACCTGTCTTACTCTTCCATGTCCTGTTTTCAAATCCGCCTCTCGTAGGTGTGTCAGCTGATGAAACCAGGCCTGAGTCTACACCCAGCAGCAGAGGAGGTTGAGAAATCTGGTTTAACGTAGCTTCTGTGTTGAAAAGTGGGATTTCCGCCGTGGGGAAGGACCACGCCGTTCCTCACAGCACACTGCACAAGCAGATGCTGCACAGGGGTTTCTGACCACCTGCCCTGACAGTAGAACGTTAATGACCTGCTGTGGAAAAGTTGCAAATAATTCTGCAAGACAAGTTGTTTCGACTTTGACTGCTGAGGGACTCTTGGCTGTCTGTGCCACGATCCTACATTTCTCTCCTTCGTTTTCTCTCTTAGGTCAGTTATTTTTCTAGTTTCTGGTATGTGTCCCTCATTAATTATCTATGATATGGTGGCCAGGTTCTATTAGGTTAGGCTACCAAGAGAGGAAGTTTTAAAAGTGGTTCATTAAGTCTTAGTGAAACCATATTCTTTTGCAAAGGTCACTGAGACCGATCTAGATTTTATATCTTTACTTAACATGGAAGACCTTTTGCACTGTGCTTTACGTCCCTACAAAGAAGAAGCAACCAAGGTTTTAATAAAACTCAAACTTACCATGATTTTTGTAGCATGAATTTACATAAACATTTTTATAGATTTTGTAGCAAACTATATGAAGATCATTTTTTGAAATTGGGTCATTCTTTAAAAAAAAAATATCAGTTTGGTTTGCAAACTTTTACTCTTCTGAACAGCAAGCAAAATAAATCACATTGTTTCCTGTGTGTGAGGCCCTGTCCCGCACCAGTGGCGTTGCAACCCCCCAACCCTCTGACTGTCCCATAACCTGTCATCGTGTTACTGTTTCTACTGTCAGCGTTTCCTTTCTGACCAGTCAGGATCTTAAATGCAATAGAGTTAAAAAGTAGAATTTGTGAACAAGCATCTGAGATAACAGTCTTGGAACTTGTGGACGCTTAATGGGAAGTACTCAATTGTTTTGCTTTTTTGATACACTCTAACCTCCAAGCTGTTTGCAAACTAGAGTATGAATGTTTGTGTGCATGGTCATGGAAAATAACCAGGAACCTTAATTAAAGAGTTTTCCCCAGTTCCTTGGCAACAAAAGATGAGTGGAAAACTTCTCCTTTTTACTTTTTATTTTGACCTGAGTAAATAGTTCCTTTAAATGTTTTTCTTCACTAAGTATCATCATTTTATTTTATTTTTTATCATTCTACAGGGGGTTAAATACCTGTGCATTCCAGCAGCGGATTCACCATCTCAAAACCTGTAAGTTGCTTTTCTCCCCCCTGTATTATTTGGGCATATTAAAAGCAAATAAAGGACTGTGAAGGCATCAGAGCCGATGGGACCTTGACGCCTGCAGGGAGGCGGGAGGCCCACAGAGGTCTGTGCTCCCTGCTTGCCGGTCCTTCGCCAGACAGCGCTGCCCGTCGGGTGTGCGTCAAAGGAGGCTTATCTCGTAAAGGGTGCCTCAAACCAGACCTTCAGCTTGCTCGCCCTCTCCCTAGAAGCTGCCGTGTCTTGTCCCATGGAAATGGAATATGAGCCACAAATGCAAGTCACACGTGTGTGATTTTAAATTTCCTAGGAACCACATTGAATAAGTTAGAAAGAAACGGGTGATGATAATTTTAATAATATGTTTATTTAACCCAATATATCCAAAATACTATCAATTCAGCATGTGCTCAATATTAAAAAAAAAGATATTTTACATCCTTTTATTCATACTAAGCCTTCAAAGTCTGGTATGCTTTTTATACTTAAAAAAGCAAAATAATTGAGTACTTCCCATTTCCACTTGGACAGCTGCATTTCAAGTGCCCAGAGCTTCAGGGGCTACTGGCCACCCAGTGTCTCTTTGAGAGACTAGGTTTCCTGGTTGAAGGAGCCCCGCTCTGCCTTCCCCACGGCCAAGCACATCTCTGATGCTGCTTTCACTCTGTCCTCCCTCCAGAGTCGTGCTTGCTCTCCTTTCCAGACCCCCCTCCCCGTCATCCCAGACCCGTGGGATTAGGCTTGGGCAGAACCTGGGGGTGGGGGGGCGGGAGCCCGAAGACCCTCCAAGGTTGCAGCTATGACGTCACACTCCCCGGGTCCAGAAGTGCCCAGGATGACGTGGAGTGGGTGAGAGCTTTCTCGAAGCCTGGATTTTGAGCCGTGCAGGCCGAGAGGCAAGAAGTCAGTAACCTGGCTGTGCTGTGCATCCAGTGACCCAGCCTCCGCTCTCAGGCTCACCTGCTTGTGCAGTTCAGGTCGGACACCACAACCCTTCTGGAATCACTGGTTTCTGCACCTCACCAGGGAACCTGTAAGCTGCGATGTTTGTGAAGTTGGGAGGCCACAGGCTTCCCAGGACCCATTGGCATGATTCTTAAGCTCTGCTGCCTGCAAGTCCTACGTATGAGAAGTGCAGACCATGTAGTCTCTGGATCCCAAGGGCCCCGCCCCTCTGAGACCTGGCCAGTGCTGGACTAGCAGCCAGCCTTGGTTTTTCACTGCTGGGAAGCGGAGAGACCACAGGGTATGCAGTAACTTTGTGGCATCCACCTTTTAAAAGGGGGGCAGCTGCAGTCAGAGGCATTGGTGTGGAGAGGAGGAGGGGCACGAGCAGGCAGGAGGTGCAGTGTCAGACCCAGGAAGAGGGGAGGAGCTGGACGCGGGCAGGTACATCCCACCCATGGCCTGTGTCCCACGCTGCCTCTCCGTGTGTCACAGAAGCCAGTCTGTGAGACCGAGGATGGTGAAGGGAAGATTTCGTAGGGCCCTAGGAGGACAGCGGTAGCCTAGGTCTGAAGGAGAAGTGTCAGAGCACTTCCTTGGTTACCAGTCGTGTCAAGAAACAGAAGTGGTTGCAGGGCATGGTGTGCACGGAAGGAAGTAAGCCACTGCCTTTCTCTCGAGACCACAGCAATCTTCTGCCCATGTTTTGGTGGCTATTTTTAGAGCGGTTGCTTTGCTCTTATCTCAAACCGAGATTCTGATATACTGTTGAACTTGTCAATAGCTGGTTGGCATTGTGACTCTTTGGAAGAATCAGACCAACACCTCCTAGGCGTTGGTGGTCAGAGCAGGTGGCCACTGTGCTCGAGCTGTTCCCAGAACTTCTCAGCTTTGCTGGAGTCAGGCCCCTCGACGTCCAGGACAAGGGTCCTGACCCACCCAGTGCAGACTGCCTGCTGAGTGGTCCTGTGCTGTGCGGCCAGTGAGCAGCAGACCCGGAGTCAGAAATCTCAGATTCAAAACCAGCTCCATCTGCCTTGGGCAAGTCATTTTAACCCATCCAAACTTCAGTTCTCTCATCTGAGAATGCCTGCCTTCAGGATTTTCAGAGATGAGATCATGTATGTGAAAGTGTTCCCTGTGACCGCTGAGCACTTTTGAAAATAAGAGTATGTTTTACTCAAAGTATATTAATGCATCTTGAGAGTTACAGGAAAGATGGGTTTGGTGCTCTGGAGGCCCAGTGAGCTGCTGGGCAGACACGACCCGGGGAAGGGGTGGGGCGGATGGTGCCGCAGCCGCTCGCCTGACTTCTGACATCTCCTGGGTCACTTCACGTCATCTGTCAACCTGGGGCCAGAGGACCAGCTCCTAAGATTTGAACCGGTTCTCTCCTGTCCCAAATATGTACAGGGGTCTTGTTAAGACGTGTGGTTTGCCTTTGTAACCCTTTCTTTATATTGGGATGAGAGTGTGGGGTGGGACGCAGTTGTCGCAGTGTCTGAGCCTGGGGCCGCTGTGGGCGGGGCCGTGGGCTGTGCCGGGGCTGCTGTTTTGGAGAAGGAATGAAGTCGTGCGGCAGCAGACCTCTGCTTCACCTGGAAAAGGAAGTCGAGACCACAGCTCATCGAAAGGCAGGAGAAATGGCACTGTGCTGCTGGGAGCTGTGTTCACGGGCACGTGTGTGTCTCCCGGGGAACCTTTTACTTCTGACCCGTTAGAAATTCCAGAGCTTACATATGCGTAAGGCTTTGGCTGCGTAAGTGCCCGTGATGCTGTAAATGCTTCCTGCCTTACTGAAGTAGTACGGAGATCGGGAGGTTATGCTTGGAACCTGAGTGTCTTCGTGTGCTGGGAGGCAGCCTGCGCAGTAGCTTTGGGTTCTTGCTGGCTGTTCGGACGCTTCATGGAAGCACAGTGCACCTTTTAATGTGAGCAGGTGTCCACGATGTGGTGCGACGGTCGACATCGGCCAGCGGAACACTCGACTGTTCTTAAGACCCACCTCCCTGCGAGCAGCCTTGCTCACCACCCGCCGGTGATGCACCCTCGGCGGCTGTGTCGTCCACCGAGGCAGACGGTCAGGAGACGGGCCCTCCCGGTGCTCGGGGAGCCCAGTGAGAACTGGCAGTCCTTCGGCCACCATGACTTCCTGGTGCCTAGCCGTTCCTATGTGCAGTGACAGAATTAATTCTACAAAAGTGTATTGCTTATTCTTTAAAACTTCATTACAGATTTTAAAAATTATTTCCAACTTTGGATATAATTTAAGGTTTTATATCCTAACTCTTTCCCCACAAACCCTATGCCAACAGGAATTCTTCTTGCTAATTACGCGTATGAAGAGGCCCGTGGCCTTTGGAGATGAACTGCTTTCAGTCCCAGCAGACGCTCCAGAAAGGTCAGCTTTCTGTCTTGGCCGTGCTCCTCACAAACCCCCTCTCTGATCTTCCAGGAATTAAAATGCAGAAACCTGGTTTGAGATGACAGTAACACGTTAGAATTTCAGCCCAGTCCCCCACCACCCTGCTCCGCAAAGCCAGGAAGTTCCAGCTCTCGCAGTGGCGGTAGCCTCAGACCCGGGCCAGTGCTTCTGCCTGACTCGCACCATCAGAGTTTACATCCCAGGACTTGTGTCGGACGCACACACCTCCTCCGAGTGGCTGGCGTGCGGCGGTCGAGTGAGCTGAGGCTTTTGGAAATACTTGGTTTTGCTTTCTCTCTGTGCTTCCTCAGGCAAGTCATTTTAGCCTCACTTCTCCTGTCCAAAATCTCTCTCTCAGGATTTCTGCAGTGTTAGGTGAGGCAGTCAGAGGGTTGTTGATGGACACTAGAAGTCTAAAAACTCGATTCTGGTTTCCGCCTATTCAAGTAAGGGCTGTTAATGTGTCTTGAGAGTGAATGGTTGGAGATACCCATTGGCTGGCCTGTTTTATCCATTCTCACTTAATATTTATTAAATTGGCATTCGCATTTGGACACCATAAGGAAACACCTACCTTTCTTGTGTTCCCTCTGGAGCCAGCCTCCTGGCCTGTGCTGTGGAGCTGGCAGCCCGACGTCTTCACAGCAGAGCCTTGCGACAAGAGTCTTGAGAGTCAAGCAGGTTCTAAGCTTCCTGAGGTTTTTGTGGGGAAGAGGCACTAGTGATGCAGAGAGCTTGCGTCTGAGACGTCAGAGCCTCCTGGCTCGTTGCACCTCCTGCCTGTGCGTCTGGTGTAGCTCGTGTCTGTACTTTACACTCTCTCTTTCTCTCGGTCACATTTTTCCTCGTTTTCATTATAAGAAGCAGTTTTGCAAGATCAGAGCTGTGTGGGCCCTTGGAGTGCTGTGGTCTTGCTTGCCGACGGAGCTGCACACGTGTGTGCACACGCGCACACGCACAGGCATGACCCCTGGGGACTTGGCAGCCCTCAGAAATATGTGGAAAAGGTGTATTGTGTTTTCCGTGAGACTTCACTTACTCAACTGAAGAACTTACGTTTCCGTCTTGGACGCCGTTGCCCGTGATTGCTGGCGTGGGGCTGCTCTTTGTGAGATGCGGTGTGGTAGATGGCGGAGAGCACTGTTTGCTCTTTTGCTTGTTTTTAAAGTGACCTCTTCTGGCAAAATGGAAGTGCAGTACTCACATTCCCCCAGCTTCCCTCCAGATGTCGGCTTGTAGGGAACGCAAACGTGCCGAAGGCCACGCGCGGTCTGCCCGGGGGAGGAGGCTTCCTTGCTTCTCGCCTCTCTCTGGGTGGGGTGAGAGGGACAGGTCACCCAGGTGAAAGCCGCCCTCTGACCTGAGCCTGCCCTCTAGCACCTGGGCCCAGGGAGGACGTTCCCCTCACCTCTTTTTAAACATTGCTTTTTGGGAGAAAAAAAATCTTACGGGGTTTCTGCTCAGGGAGGGAGAAGCAGCCTGGAGCGTGTGGCTCGTGCTGTCTGTACAGCCTGGTCTGGTGCTGCTGGCTTTGGGGTGAGCCCAGCTGCCACCCCAGGTGCTCGTCCACGTCTCCCACAAGCAGGGTCCTCCTCGGCAGGACAGCGCTGCCTCAGATCCCACGGGGGATCACAGCCTCCAAGGCTTGCGATCTCGCAGTAAGAAGCAATTGTTCAGCCTCAAAAGCGAGCATCGTGCCGTGCAGTGTTGCTAGATCTATCCACCACCCTTCCTGAAGGTCAAGGAAACCTGGCTGGTACTGCTCTCGGCCTCTGGATGAGAGGGAGGGGTAGGGGTGCTTGGTCAGTGACGCAGAGGAGGGAGGGACGGTGGCAGTGGCCAGGCTGTTAGCTGGGCCCTGAGGACGCCTCTCGCCAGCCCACAAGTTCCCTGCGGCTGCCGGGAGCAGCACAAGTGTGTAGGCGTGCTCGCTTCTGGACGAGCCCAGCTGGCTCTCCTGTGACGGAACCAAGTAAAGGTGAAGAGCGAAGCTCAGGAATGGGGAACCGGTGCCACTGAAGTAGCGGTGGTGGGACGCGCTCCGCAGTCAGGAGTTGAGCAATGTGAGGGCTGGAGCCCTGGGTGTTTCCCGCCGTGGAGGAGGAAGTGTGGTGACCGGGCTCGGGCTTATGTCATGAGCTTCCCTGGAAATAACCCACCCCAGCAGCACTGAGCGCGCCTGCTCCTGGCTTTCCTTGGAAGCGGCACTTCTAGGAATGTCCGCCTGGCCTGGCCTCATGCCAGTTGTGTTCGTGAGCTAAGTCCGTGGCAGGGCCCTGAGCAGCCCCTTCGTTGACATCGGCCCTCCTGGGCGGGGCCCTGCAGTCTTGTCCCCACACTGTGCTGACAGGGGCCATCCGGATTTTTCTGGACTTGACACTTGGTGCAGAAAGGCCGGGGGCACCTCTTCCCGGCTCCTTGGCTGTCAGTTCCTTGGATGTCACCCTGCTGACCACATCCCACCCCCAGTCTCTTACTCTGACTCCTGAACCCCATCCTACACCCTATTTACGACCTGGTTCCATAGTGCCTGTGGTTCGGGACCTGCAGGTGTAAAAGGCAGACATGAGACGCTGTTCCCACTCTGAGGTTTCAGT